TAATTCAAATCGTAATATCATCAGTTACAATATTCTGCTTTTCATGTTCATTTGCATTGAGATTTTTGTTTAATAAATATGCTAAAATGAACACATTTTTGTTTTAGTATTTTCATTTTCATTCATTGTTTATAAATTTATAGTCATATGTGTTTGGTTTTCATTTATACAACAAATTGATTGACTTGTTTTATTTTTCTCTGAAAAGAATGATATTTTTCAATACTAATTAATAAATTGTATTGTATTAATGAACACAAATTCATAATAAAAAAATTATTTATTTTAAATAATTTTTCAAATCTTTCAAATTATAACAAAAAAATATTTTCATTTCTTGTAATATTTTTATTATTTTAAATAGCTTTTCATTGAATCCAATTATATCTATTTTTATTGTAAATTTTATTTAATTGAAGCAAAATAAAGTTTCCTGCGGTTAATATTTCCCACCTTTACAATTGTTTTTTAAAAAACAGTAGAAATATTTGCTTTTTTTTTACCAGAGTCTGTATATAAAATTCAGGAATTTCCTATTCGTCTTCTGCTAGTATTTTTCCTATTCTTTTGTGAGCTTTGTAAACTGCACGTACATATGCATGTAGAAGGGGATGAAACGTTTATTTTCATACCACAATTTGGGGAGTTTCCCATTCGTGTTGTTTCAATTTCATTCCTATTTGTTTGTGCTTTGTAAAGTTTGTTTTTATAAAAACGGGATGATAATGTATTGTTTATTTGATGAAAATATACGAAATTTATTGATTACTGAAACATTTGTCAATATTTTTTTGATTCCTTAACTATTAAAAAAATGATTTTATAAGATATTTTGAAGTAATAAATGTATTATTTTGTTATTCGTGTTTGTTAGTTTCATATCTATTTATTCAGGTCTTTGTAAAATTTACATTGTTATTTAAGAATATAAAAGCGGATGAAAGTGAAACGTTTTCTAGTTGAAAATAAACGAAATTTATTGACAACCGAAACCATTTAATAGTAAAAAATGAAATTATTTAAACTTTCAAGTAAATCGAATTAAGTTTTATTGAATGTGATTTAATTGAAGCAAAATTGTCGTGCCGTTTATATTTTTCATGTCTTAAATAACGTTAAGTTGATTAAAAGATCTGTAGATGAAATTTGCTCTATTGTTTTAATTTCCTTGAAAAAATTAGCGATTTTCTTATTCGTGTTTGTTAGTTTCATATATATTTATTCAGATCTTTGCAAAATTTGCATTTTTATATAAAAATATAAAAGGGGATGAAAGCGAAACGTTTTTTTGTTGAAAATAAACGAAATTTATTGATAAGCGAAACTATTTGGTAGTAAAAAATGAATTTATTTAAACTTTTAAATAAAGCCAATTAAGTTTTATTGAGTGTGATTTAATTGAAGCAAAATTGTCGTGCCGTTTATATTTTTCGTGTCTTAATTAACGTTAAGTTAATTAAAAGATCTGTGTCTAAAATTTCCTCTATTGTTTCAATTTCCTAGAAAAAATAGCGATTTTCTTATTCGTGTTTGTTAGTTTTATATCTATATATTCATTTTTATATGCGAATAAACTAAAACTATTTAAAAAAAATGTTAACAATTCTTGATAATTCAACTACATTTTTTTTGTATACAAAACAATCTATGTACTTGTCGAATTATTTGAAGTTTTAGTTCATTATTTTATTAAAAATTTGGTAGTAAATTGGTAGAATTGGTAATTTAGTAGACATTTTTTTTTTAACTGAATGAAATTAATTTTTGTTGAGTGCGAATTAATTGAAACAAAATTGTTGTGCCGTTTATATTTTCCATCTTTTTCATTTCTTAATTAACGTTAAGTTAATTAAAACATCTGTAGATATAATTTGGTTTATTGCTTCAATTTAGTAGTATAATTTGAAGATTTTCCCTTTCGTGTTGAGTTAGTTTCATTCCTATTTATTTGGGCTTTCTAAAATGTGCGCATTTGTATATGAAAATACAAGGGGACGAAAGGGCGACGCAGCTGTTTATTTTCTTTCAAAATTGAGACCTTTGAAAAATAAACGATCCGTTTTTACTTATTTCTATATGTTAAATGTGTATAATTTTATTGTCTTGCTTAAATACAGGAAAGTAAAACGGCGATCGTGTGATAATCCACAATGAATCACATCAAAGAAAACTGAGTGTTTTATCAAGGGTAATATTTGCATGCAACCCTGACATTTCGGCCGTCTTTGAGGTTTAAGCTGAGGTTTAGATTCAGCCGAAGGAATGCATCTAGTTATTATTGGATTATGCAATTCAGGTCTGTTGAAGACGGTACACAATTTAGCTCACTCCCTTCTTACAACGTCCAATTTGTCCTCGACCTCGGATCGTAACCGTAACAATCCGAGTAATAGCGCCGTAATGACTCCTTATCTAATGTACTTCGAGGCAATCGAGACAACAAAAGTCATCCTTGTACATTTACAAATATATTCATAAAAAATTACAAGTTTTGCATTGATAACAAAAAAAATAACAATAATTCAATAAACGCGTGTCCACGAAACGGCTTAATTAATAGTCGCGATTCGAGGACAAACGAAAAAACGTACAAAATATTTGTCGCTTTCTCCAATTTCTGTTTTTTCGCTTACTAATGAAGGGCGTTCGTGTATTATCTGTTCAAATTTGTACAGCAAATAACATATTTTTTTATGTAATACCAAATAGATGCGCGAAATTAACGCCTCGCATGTTAATGCGAAACACAAATACGCACGAGTTTCGATCAACGCAATGATGATGATAATAATTTCCTTTAAGTTTTTCCCCATTTTTATTTTCGAAAACCGCGTTATTTGCGGTCTCTCATTAGTCTTGAGGTCAACGCAAATTAAGCGAACGCTAACGAACATTTAGTCACTTACTTATTTGGTTTACCATATGAAAATGTGCACTAAGCTGATCGATAACTAAACTGTTTTAAATGTGTCAACGTTCCTTGATTTTTTTTTGTCTATGCCAAAAAGTTAATAGAGTTATTGAATAATTTCATACTATAATCTTTGACACTATTTTAAGTGTAAAATTAACTATAATAGATTGAATGTATTCAAAATTTTGAGTAATGTAGCGATTATTCAGACAAATTTTAAAAACATTTTAGTGAATTTCTCGAAAACTATAATAGATTGAAATGATTGAAAAGATGTATATGAAAGCTGAATGTCTGGAGAATGTAGCCATTATTCAGATATTAATGTATTTTGCTGTAATTCACGCTAAATTAACGCTCAAAAAACCCATAGAGATTTTCAATTTATTCAAAACCCATAGAGATATTTTCGTTACATAATTTTCGAGTAATAAAGAAATAACGTGAAAACTCGTAGGATCTCCAAAAAACAACGATTTAAAAAAAATCCTATTCAGGTTTCAGTTGAGTGGTCGATGATGTAATCTTAGCTCATAAAATGTTACGAAAGGGTGTCGCCCATCTTGCACAGTCATGAAATACAACAAAAGATACGTAATTTTCATGTAATTAAGAAAAAAACGTGAAAATTTCAACAGCTTGTACCAGGCGATTTGGCAACAGCACGAAGATGCCAATAGGTTTGTTGGAAAGGCAATACATTCAGCTTTCAATTGTGTTATGTTTAATATAATTATCATAAAGAAATTCACGAAAAACTGAAAAAGTCGAATAAAAATGTCGATTCTCTGTTATGTAACGAACATTACGTAACTATTGTATCATAAAAAGTTGCGTAAGCGCCACCCTCGCCTTTCAGATATATTTCTCGAAAACTATAATAGACTAATATAATGAGTATTCATAAATTGCTCGCTCGAACAAATCAGTGTTTTCAAATTTTTGCTCAAATTATTTATAAAATTATTTACAGTAGATTTCAAAATTTAAATTTATAATGAAAATGTTTAATTAATTAAAAAAAGAAACACAAATATTCTTCATCTCTGTAAATTTACATATATCAAAGTCAAAAATATAAACACAAAAAAAATGCATTGCTAATTCGTTACAAATTATGCATGTGTTTTGCGGTTAACTCTTAGAAGTACGTGCTTTTTGTTTTTCGCCGCGTACAAAACCAAGATCACATTTTTTTGTGTATACCTGAATCAGTCGAGGAAGAGGAAACTACACTTCGAGAATACAAATTGCCATTCATAAATGAATTAGCGGAGCAGACATTGTTGCACAACGCTCACATCAAAAAAAAATCCGAATTATCGAGAGTCACGAGTTCTCAACGAAATTATCGAAACTTTCCGGGAGTTTAACACATTTTTTTTTGTTTTGGATTATTATTGTTTTTATTGTAATTGGCAACATTTGACCGTGATCTGCGGTCGGACGTTCGACCGGAATCCAATAAAAAAAAAGGAATGCAGAAATAATTCAAATTCATAAGAAATTGTGCTTAATGAATATTTTTTGTATGAAAAACGTATATAATTGATGCAATTTTTACGATAAAATATTATTTTGCTTATTACAATTACAGCAATACCTCGCATAGTGCGAATAATCGGTTCCAGGACTCTTTAAAACCGGACTAATCGAGGACTTTAAAATAGACTTGACTAGAAGGAGACAAATAATGTATTGTAATATTTTTGTTTTTAGAATTAACATTTAGTTTGTTTTTTTTTATTTTCTGGGCTGATCGAAGCCGCACTATGCGAGGTATTGCTGTATTTAATATTTGTTTTGTTATTAATACATAATATGATAATTGAAGCAATTGCAGTTTAGATTTTCCGGTTCGGATTCTTGCGTTTTCCCGTATATTGATGATGATGATTGGAAAAAAAAGTGCTTGGGTTTCCCTCCGATTTGATCACGTTCATCAATCAATTGGCAATACATCGTCCCAGTCAAAACCATTAATAATGTGTCGGACTGTGCTATTAATAAATAAATTGGCATCGATTGATTCCGCAGCGCGAATTTGTGCAGACGGAGGTGAACGGATCCGCTTGATCTTTGCAAATTCCGATCACTCTGTGTGAGTGTTCTGCGTATATGCAAATATTTAATTTGAAGGAAACTGAGTCACCTCCAACGACATTCTTTCGTGTTACAGTTGTTGCATTGTTGTCAGTGTAATATTTTTTGTTTTTTTTTGGAAATTTAACGTTTTCGAAATAAACAATGCGAAACGAGACGATCAACAGAAAAGGTCAGTTTTTTTTTTAATTTTAATAAATACATTTCGTCTTTTGAACCGGAACGTTTCGCAATAATCGTTAGAAATCGACTTTCCTAACGATTTATTCGAAGCAAAAAATTGTAACTATTTCATAACACTGCAAATTATGGAAAATTATTATTGATCGATGTTCCACTTCCTTGTAAGATGATATAATTTGTGTTTAATCGTTTTTAGAACTTAAAAATTTTGCCATCTGAGGCTTATTTAGAATGTGTGGGCCCCATGTAAACTTTTTATTGGAGGACTCAAACTAATTTGAATTTGATGGCCATAAACTGGAAAATTATTATTGATCAATGTTCTACTTTCTAGTAAGAGACATTTTTGTTTAATTATTTAGAAAACTTTGAAATATTAGTAATATTAACATATGTAACATCAGTAGCAAGAATGTGTGGGTCCTAGGTAAACTTTTTTTATTGGAGATATAATTTGTGTATAATCGTTATGAGAACTTCAAAATAATTCCATCTGTGATGTAGTAAGAATGTGTGGGTAAACTTTTTTTTTTTTTGAAGACTCAGACAAATTTGAATTTGATGGACAAAAATCTGTAAAATTATCAATGATCGATGTTCGACTTCTTGTAAGATGAGACAATTTTGTTTAATGATTTAGAAAACTTTGAAATATTAGTAATATTGAGATAAGTAACATCAGTGGCCTAGCAAGAATGTGTGGGTCCCAGATAATCTTCACTTTTGAGGAATCGAACCATTTTTTTTTTCGAAAAACTGCACGTCCCTATACTTGAGGAAATACAGTAATTTTAGAGCTATTTATATTACGTTTTGAACACGTAATTAAAATGTTTCTCGCACAATTGCTAATATTTAATTTCTAGATAATTTAAAATATGATGAATAAAACGTTAATACGTATAACTCTTTAAGTTTTACTGTTAAATATATTAATAAATTTAGAAACTACATGATAAAAACGTACTGAACACGGATAACCACAGAGCCGTAATGATTAAAAACAAAAACTATGAGAAAAATTAATGAACATCTGTTAATGTTCTGACTGATGAAATATTGTCTAAATATTTCGATGAAAAAATTTTCTTTTTTTTTTTTTTGCAATTTCAGTATTATTTTTAGTTGATGATTGAACAATGTACAACAGATAAATATTTATATTAACAGATCGTTTGGCCATTTAATTGTTGTTTACAATTCATTATTTTTAGTTTATAAATAACCTTTTGAGCTTCTTCCATGACATTCTCGTGTCGCATTTCTGTTGAATAGTTTGCTGACGACTGTTGTGTTTTAATTTGGGGAAAGTGTAAATATTCGGGAAAATGAAAAGATTTTTGATAATATTTATTTTCGTGGCTGCCTGGACGATGAACGCAGACACTTTGAAGATTCCAATGGCAACACCCAAATATGTAAAGTTGACACATGTACCGACAATATCCGAATCTGTAAGAACAACCCCCACATATGTAACGACAACCCCACAATCTGTAACAACAACCTTAAAATCTGTAATGACAACGACAAAATCCGTAAGTTCAAGAATAACAGAACCGACAACCTCCATAACAACCTCAAATATGTCGACACCATCTGCAACTTCGAAGTCCAAAACACGGACACCCTCTGCAACTTCGAAGTCCGAAACACGGACACCCTCTGTAATTCTTCTTATTTGTTTATTAATTATAAAAAATACGTTTTTGTAATAACCGATGCTTCGCATTACAAAACACCTGTACTTTAGAAATTGCACTAATTCATAACAATAAATACAAAAGATTCGAAGCCCCGAATACCGACACCTCGAGTAAATACGAAGTCCGAAACACCGACAACCCCCGCATCTGCATAATACAAAATATAGGCAACTCTAGGAAATGCGAAGCCCGGAATATCGATATCTCCAGTAAATACGAAATCCAAACCACCGACAATCCAAAACCATCGAAATATTTGAAATTAAAAACAAAAGAAATGAATCCAACGTTGCTACTACGCACAAAAAATGTTAGTTTTAAGGATTTTATCTGATGTATTAATACAGTATCCATGTATTTGATATGGCGTTGTTAAGGCAACCAAATAAATATATCTATCAGTTGTTCTAATGTTATAATACATAATAATAAATAATGTAACAACCGAATTTAATTGTTTTGTTTTATCATCCACAGCTTTCTACCTCCTTCTATAAATTAGTAAACTTGGGCTTGAGCTTGGGGTCAAATATATATCTTGAGCCCTTACATTTATAATTTAAAAAAAAAGAGGTAAATTATGTTCAACCTGAATGGTAACTGGCTTTTCGTGAAAACTAAAAAAACAATAAGTAATCCAATATAAAACGCAGCAAACAATATTTACTTGATTATTACTAATGTACTTAGATGCTTTTTTATTATTGTAAATCAAGTGTAAAGAATTATTTACTTAAAGGAAAATACAAAATATAATATCTGAAACAGATTAGTTTCTCTCCATAGGTAAATTAAGTACAGTGAAAACTCGTTTAAAGAGCAACTCGCATAACGAAGATTTTGCATAACAAGCTAAATCAATTGTAATAAAAATGACTCGCTTAACAAGCGACGTTTCGCATAACGAGTGACGATGAGAAGAGAAGTAATTGAATCAAACAATCAGTTTTTTTGCATTGGAAATTTTAAATAACTAAAGATAATTAGCAAATATTACTTGTTTTATCATTTATTAATAATATTATTTTATATTTCAAAAATGGTAATTCTTATTTAATTCGAAAGTCAAACTTGAAAGTCGATTCGTCTTGTAAATTGGATTGGATTTAGTATATCGAACAGAATCTACAAATTTTTTTTTGCAGTGAGGTTTGCGTTTCATAATCGTAAACGTCGGTGATTATTTGTGTCCGTACGTAATTTGCATTTCTGGGAAATACGGGATAGAACGAAAAGGCGATAGATAATGTTGGGTGCGCGTCAAAGGGAAGCACGAAACGCGAATGCAAATTAGCGTCGTCGGCGAAGAATAAATAAGTCAGAACTATAATCTACCTGCAGCTTCGAAGCTAACTGGTTAGTCAGTTGTTATCGAAGAGTCTTCGTTAAAAAAGTCTAAGACTGAAGCAAAATAATGAGAAAGAGGTGTAGGAGATGGCACTTTTTAAATATTTTTTATTTAGAAAGAATTACAAAGCGAAATTAGGGCTAATTAAAAAAATAATAGTATAAATGTAAGTTATTTACCAAAAAATGCTTTTGAGAACGGTAAAAAAGTGAAAATAAATATAGTGTACTACTCGCGCGGTGTATTTTATACACCTCATGTATTACTGCCATAAATGTTTCTATTATGACAAGAAAAAACTTTTTCATGTTAACTAATGTTTTTTTTGATTAGATTCATAACTATTTGTAATACATTAATATAATAATTTCTGAATCAGAATTGTTGTAGGCGTGAGTAGAGGTATCAGCATCGTCTGTTACTACACAAACACTGCAGAGCAAGAACGAACATGCACAAAAACCACTTCTTTGTGCCGCAATCAACACAATATTGGGCATAGGTTACGTTATGTACCATAGATGGGGGAAAGAAAATATAGATGTTGTATCATTTCTTAGAAAATTGGTGTACTTTTTACACCGGCGCGAATAGTTTTAAGTAAATTTTAAGCAAATGCACATTTTAATATTAGTATACCAAGAATTATGTCTGGTCTTTTTTTATACAAAATACATTAGTTTTTTTCAAAATTTGTAAATGTTTTTGGTTTGTCATGTTTTTAGTATGGATATTTAAGAACTACATTTTGATCTTTCTATCATTATCCAAATAATTTAAAACTAAACATAATTTTGAACTGTGTTAGTAAACAAATCTTGAAGAAAATAAGTGTACTTTATAAGATTATAAACAGTAAAGTTAGAGAGGTTTTTCCTTGATAATGACTACGTATCAAGTACTTTTAATGTTTTCGTTAAGTTTAATTGAATTTTCTGATAAAAATATGCTGAGAGAACCAAAACATTCGTACTCATTCATCTGCATACATTGGATTCTTTGTACGAACCACCGGTTTGAGACCAATCACATTAAAGCAGGTTATGCGGATAGTCAATAGGTCTTCACTGAAAATGTTAATGAAATGATGACTAAATAAATAATTAATATTTTTTCTCATTTTTTAAATTATATTGATCATGTATATTGACAAAATAAATAAGGTGTGAAAATTCAAGGATTTACGAAGTGTTGCCTTGCACGAAAAGTTTGGAAAACCCTGCATTTCAACGTTTCTAATTTATGACTTCAAACTTGTAGAAATTTTGATGGGAATGTTATGTATCATCAAAGCGTCGATGATTTTTTTTTTAAATAGATTAGATACAGTTTGGGAACTACTGGCGTACACAGTCATAATATGTATATTCGATGTGTTAGCTATAATATATAAAGAGACCGCAATTTGTTGGAGCTGCTGTATTCATGAAACAGCGACCATCGAAGTAGGCTAGACTGGATATTATATACACAGTGCGTACAGTGTATGCGAGTGAGAGACAGAGATAGAGAAGTATAGCTGAAGCCAGGTGCGCGCAAATACGGTTACCACCACTTCGACTCCGACCGCGACGCGAAGCACACTTCTACCACTTCTTGTAGCGAAGTTCAGTTACGCAACGCGAAGTGTCCGTGCCATACGATTGCCATTGATATATTGCATTTTTGCAAGAAAGTTTAGTTGAGTTCAAGAGTTTTATTTTTTGTATTCAACCTTCGCGAAAATGAATAAAATCTACATCGTCCTTCTGCTGGCTGCGCTCCAGATCCTCCGGTGCAACGGTGCGTTGACAGCAAATGCGACGACCGAAGAAATCACCACCCCAGGTACCAACGATGAAGAGGAAACGAACAGCCCGCAGGACGAAGCCACGCCGAGCACTAGGCCGCATGAGCCATCACCCTCGAACTTAGAGTCGAGCACGTCGACGTCGA